CTACGAGTGACTCCCCTAGAAGGCTAAAGAATAGAAGCCTTCGATGGAGCTGTTAGTGGGGGAAACGGAAGGTGAGGGTGGATGCGAATATTTGCAGGGGCTTGAGAAGAGCTTCCAAAGTGAGATGTGTAGCAGATTTCGCTGGGTCGAGGATTTGCTAGTTATAAAATATGACTATCGTGTGGACTAGAATGCATCATCGGTGGGCCGTCCGGATGGGCTGGTCCGAGTGCCAAAAAACTGGCTAGTCCAAAAATAGGCCGACAGGACCTTTCCTTTACTGCAGACACGACGGTGCGCATGGGAGGTGTCAATCCCCCCACCGCACTTTAGTCCATGGTCCTCGTCCCACGAAGAAATCCGGCGTCCTCGTCGACAATGCCTAGGCGGCGTTTGGGTAACAATCCGTTTTGGGTGTTTGCGGTCGAGGGCGGCTGTCTTTTCCTTGGGTGAGGAAGGGGGCTTTGGGAGGGCTGGCGAGTCACTCGAGGGTTGCGTTGAGCCTGTTGGTGAATCACTCGAGGGTTGTCTGGGCAGATTTGGCGGTTGCGTTTCTGAATGGTAGAACTCAGAGGGGTGGGCAAAAGCCGGGGAAGTGGCTTGAAGCCAAAGAGAGAACACGGCATGCATGATAAAAGCAAATACGCTTTTTAGGTTTTTAAAATGTTTTGGGTTCTTTTGTCGAGTTTGCAAAACGTTTGTGGATGAGACGCAGGAGAACCACTAAAGACGAAAAAGGTGTGTTAATGAAAATAGAAAACGTTTACAAAAACTGTAAAACGGACCAGATTTTTAACCTGTCTACCGCGTCGGTCGTTTGCCTGGGATTGCGGCGGGATATGTTACGGGTCAAGGGGTACGGAGGGTTCCAGGCTATTCAGTTCCCGGGAATTCACCACAGGTGCGGGTGCTTGTGCGAGAGCATCAGGATGGGCTGCAAGTGACACGTCAAAGAAAGCCAATTTGAGGCGGTCGATGGACACCGTTGTTCGGTGACCATTCTGGTCTGAAATAAAATGTTTCGGAGTCCGTTGCAGAACACTGAAAGGGCCAGTGTAAGGAGGCTGGAGAGGGCGCCGCACTGCGTCGGTGCAGAGAAAGACGTGAGTGCAGGTATAGAGTCCGCTGTGCATTTGCACATCTCTAGTCTGTTAACGGGGCGGGGTCGGGCGTAGAGAACGCGTGCGTTGAGCTAGGGAGGACGCAAAGTTAAGCGGAGGCATACCCAACGATGCGCGAGGTGAAACGAATGCTCCTGGTAACTTGAGCGTCGTGCCGTCAATCAGCTCTGCTGGTGCACGTTGCAAATCAGCTTTGATGCTGCTGCGAATATCTAAGATTACGAGCAAAATGTTTACGCACCAGCTAGGGTCGGAAGAGGCGCAGAGCGAGGCTTTAAGCTGTCTATGGAAGCGTTCAACTAACCCCTTGGCTGCTGGATGATACGCTGTGGTTTGAATGCAGCGACAGCCTAAAACGTTGCAGAACGCATCGAATTGTGAAGATTCGAAAGGCGTTTCTCTGTCAATTGTGATGGTGGATGGGCATCCGTAGTGCGAGACCCACCGATCTGGGAATGCTTGGATAACAGCCTCAGCTGTGCAGTCTGTTACCGGAATGGCTTCTTGCCATCTGGTGAAACGGTCGACACATGTAAGAATACATACGAATCCGCGTGAAGGACGCAATAGACCTATAGGTCTAAGCGTACATGCGAGAACCGAGAGTCCGGGGAAAGAAATGTACCCAGAGGACTGCGGCTGAGACGATGTATTTTGGAGCGCTGGCATTGAAGACAGACGCGAGTCCAGGTACGAACATCTTTGTTTACGTGTGGCCAAACGAGAAGTTCAATGACCAGTTTCAAAGACGCACGGATACCAGGATGTGACAGTGAGTGCGGTGCGTCAAAGTCAATGCCGATGATGGCAAAGGGGACTGCAGCGACAGTGAATACCCAGCGGAAAGTGCGCCGAAGACCTAGGTCCAGGGTAAGCGACCGTTGACCGTAGGTGGCTATTGGCGTGCCATTGGCCGCAGTGAGGATTGTCGACAGAGAAGTGGTAGGCTCACCTGGCATAGGGGGAATCACACAGGCTTCCTCCCCTGTATCAACTAAGAACTGGGTATCGGAGTCATAATCCCTAACGTATATGAGACCACTTTTGGCTTTGCTGACGTTCGTGGCCATTACAGCCCGGCGTGGCGGATCATCTATAGCTGAGTAGCTACACGGCTGTGCGCACTTACTGACATTAGTACCGAAACGCGAGTGGTAAAAGCAGTAACCTATTGCATCAGGTTTTGTGCGACGAGGCGTTGATCCAGACCGGTTGCGGTGCTTACGGTTTAAAGTGAGTTCCTTGATCTGGCGCTGAAGCGACGCTATTTGCAATGATAATGCGTCTATTGTCGACGGCGGGTTAGTCGCGCCTGTTGCTGTGGTTGCGCCAGCGCAAAGCTGCCTAGGTGCTTTGATTTCAGTCACTGGCTGGTGCCGTTCGATGACGCCGTCTGCTAGGTCTGCAATTGCTGTAATGGACAAGTCACTTGCTACTGCAAGGAGAGCTTGTGTGCTTTTAAGAAGGCGTTGCATCCACAGCTCGCGGAGAATCCCTACGTCCATGTTGGACGTGCCGATGAGCTGTTGCATTTCGCGCAAAAAGGCTGAGGGCATCCTATCTTCTAGCTGCAGATCACTAAATAGTTGCTGCAGACGGACCTTGTCAGAAGGCGTGATTCGCAATATAATAGCCTGTTTAAGGGTCTCGTATATCATTACTAGAGGGGAACAAATTATGATGTCTCTCACCTGCGAGGATCTAATCTGAGGAATGCAAGATATTAGCTGATTGCACGTGGCGAAATCAGAAGAAATCTTACGTATATAAAATACGGATCCTAGGTGCAAAAATCTTAATAAAGGATCATTCTCCCAAAGAGGTGCTTGGGCTAAGGAAACAGAATTGACCATGACAGGCTGAACGGCGTTAACCGCGCAGGGAGACGGCTTATCCTCTAGATAATTCATTGCAAAAAAGCAGATAAAAATGTGATAGGTGAGAAAACAATATGATCACAAATAATGAATCAGAAAATCACTAGAACGACTTCACCAGAATGAAAATGCGAAATAGCGGGCGGCGTGTTCCTGACAGGGGGTCAACAATTGTTGGGCGGAGCCTGGGATATTGGTCAGGAAGCAGTGACACGTAAGACCTGTCAAATACGACAGTATAGAAGTCGGATGCGACTGAACCCAATGTATATTGTGCAGGCTACAAGAATAGGAAGCAAATCAGACAGAGCGAGAAACGTGCAGCGAGGTACTCACCAAAACGGTTTGTGTCAACGGACGTGCAGTCAGTAAAACAAGTGGACGTTTCGAAGGTTAAAACAACCATAAAATCAAATGTTACAAAATACTGAAATAACTTGTTTTCCGCTACACTACATACGGCAGCACTTTTCAGAGCTCCGTCCGATTTGAATTTTTTCTGTGCATCGCCGGTCGACCTCGGATATCTATATACCCTTTATTCGTCTTTGTGCGCCGCGTCGGATACTTAAAGAACGTTGCATTATTGTATTGTGGATTCGTCGGATGGCATGAATAACCAGACTCCATTGAAATAAACGGTCGGCTTAACTAGAGTGCGTAATAACTAGGGTTCAGGGCGCTTTTTCTCACATTTCTTTCGTTCTTATTCAGTATATCATCATCATCAGCAGGGTGATGCCTCCGAGCAACTTGAGAGCTACTCCTACCAGGTTAGGCAATGGTGAGAAGTCAGACAAACTCAGTCTCCTGCTCCTCCAGGTTGGGGGTTTGAAATGGGATGGCGTCCATTTCTGTAAAACTAAATCACTGCCACACCGCTGCCTTGCGGACAGGCTTTTGAGCCAAAGGCTTTGGATGAGGACCCTAATCGTTCTCCTCTCTAGGTCTGGGCGCCCTGGCAGTATCCCAGCCAACATACAACCATGACATTTTCTTCAAACATAAACTTTATCTTGCATCGGCCGTCGCGCAGATTACCAAGGGTCGCCTTATCTGCTGCATACGGCAGGGCAGATAAGCGAAAACATGCTACTGCGGTAGATCGCTTAGTTTCTCGTATTCCGCACCAGGGTAAATGATAAATATGGTAGATATCTCACGTTCGGTATTTTTCCTATCTCTAGAATTGCATTCTGCATCGATTGAGACTATAATAACAGCAATCTGAGCTTTCTTTATGGAGATTTTAGCACTTAACTAGTTTCATTACTAAAAATAGTAGCTTTTGGCGCTTGTATTGGTTTCTAACTATTTTGCCTAGGCCGTAGGGTTATGTTTGTACTCATATGATAGGGATTTGAAAGCGCTCTCTATTCGTGCTTAGAGCATTAAAGTCGCCTGGATGGTTCAAAATTTGGGACCGTATGATTACCATAACAAAAAATTGTGTTGCTTCGGGACGTTCCGTGGTACTAATGGTACATAGCAACGAGGTTACCTAGCGATGTTGCCAAGGAGGATGAATATGCAATACCTGGAAATAGCTGGATGGTGCGTGGAGAAAAGTATTGTGTGTTAATTATGATGCCATAGGAAGTGTTACCGGTAAGGGTACATATGCGTGATAGTTGTTATAATATTTCGGTGGCCATAGTTGTTTCTTCTGCTTTCGCTATCGCTGTGGATGATGGTGAGCTGTTCAGATCTTTGGTTATTAGGAAGCCTGAAAGGGTTAAAGACATGGAGGAGCAATTCAGACGTTTTCAGATTAAATCGTTGACATGTTTTTCCAGCGTGGGAGGCGCCAGCAGCTGCTAGATGGGTACGGCAGCGGCTACATCCTGTACGGTTGCATACATTTTGGACATTCAGGATTGCGTGGCAAGCAGTAAGTTAATATTAAGACAACACGGAGGCTAACGCATTGTTCATTGAGTTTATTGAGTTGTAGAGAGCAGGAGGGAAATCCCTTGTCAGCCCCATCGATTCCGTATCATACTGAGTTTGACGCATGTCGTTGCGTTGCGACGTTCCTCGAGGGTTCGTCGTAAGTGCAGTGACAGCCGCAAGATTCCAGCAAATTAAGCGAATGTTTGACTAGCAGACGCTTGATGCTTTCCTTGGATGGAGCGTCTGCAATTGCTTCCGGTAGGCTGTTCCAATCATTCACCAATCTAGTAGATAGGGTGACGTCCTTGCGAATCTTGTGTCTTCTTTGCTTAAACAGTTTCCATGTGTTCCCTCGGGTGGTACAGTCAGTGTTGGGCCGGAAGAAGTGTTGTAACTCACTTCCAAGGTCCCCTCGGAGGATGCGTCTAGTGTAGATGAGATCAGCCCAACGACTGCGGAGCTCGACGGAGAAGAGATTTAGCTGCTGGAGTCGAATGGGGTACGGGAGATCACGAAGCCCCAGAACGGCTTTCGATGCACGTCTCTGAACCTTTCGCAGCAGAGCGCATTCAAGGTTTGAAAGCGGATGGCCAGCTGGTAGGCAATATCCTAAGACTGAACGGACGTACGAAGTGAACAACGGTCGAAAAATCTCGGGAGTCATTCGAGCGAATTCTCTTCTTAAGGCACCTACCAGTCTCCTTCCAGTGGCCACCTTTAACGTACCCTGCGTCGTTCTAAGTTCAGAGGTCACGATAACCCCGAGATCTCTCTCGTGTGTGGTATTCCTAAGGAGAAGCCCACCAATGTGGTACGCACCGTAGGGTTCGGTGCCACCTATTAGGAGAACAGCGCATTTATCTCGGTTTACTGGCAGTTCCCACCTGATGGACCATTCGTGTAGCTGGTCTACAGCCCCTTGTAAGCTGTCCGCATCCTCAATGCTGGATGCTTTTGACCAAAGCTTGAGGTCATCGGCGTAGATCAAGCAGTCGGTTTGTAGCGCAGTCTTTAGATCGTTAATGTACAGTTTGAAGAGCTCTGGTCCAAGCACTGATCCTTGGGGAATGCCACTAGTCATAGGCACTGGAGCAGAGAGGGTTTCGTTCACTTGTACGCGCATTGTCCTACCCCTTAAGAACTCGGCAATCCAGGAGAGAAGATTTTCCGTAATGCCAATTCCCTGGAGTTTATGTAGCAGTCGTTCGTGTGGAACTTTATCAAAGGCTTTACTAAAGTCAATGAATATTACGTCAACCTGTTTTCGGGTATCAGTGCCTTTTGCCCATGTTTCCCTGGCGATGAATAAGTTAGTGATGCATGAGCGTGCTCTCCGCAAGCCATGTTGAGCAGGTAAGATGAGGTTTAGATGCACACAGTGTAGCTGGAGAGCGCACTTGACAATCCGTTCCATCGCTTTCCATACGACTGATGTCAGACATATTGGCCGGTAGTTGGTTGGGTCTTGTTTGTTTCCCCTCTTGTATTTTGGCAGGACGGTGCCTGCTTTCCAGGCTGTGGGTAGGCAGCCGACTTCGAGGGATTTCCGAAACACTTGGCAGAGAGGGGCGGCGATGTACTCATCTATCGTTCTGAGGAAGCTGGGATGCAATCCGTCCGGGCCTGGGGAGGAGTTTGGGTCTAGTTCTAGGAGTAGCTTAGTGACCACTTCGGGGTTAGTTTCAACTTGGTCCATAGAGGAGTCGTGTGCAGGCCAACAGTTGTTGAGCAGTGGTGACTCCACTGAGTAGACCGTGGACTATTGCGCAGCCAGTAGGTTTGCTTTCTCATCATCACCGTAGAGAACGGCACCTTCCTTAAAAGGAGATAGAGCGGGGATTCCACTACCAGTTTTGGCATTTCGCTTCAAGTAGGCAAAAGCTTTTGGGACAGTTTTGTGATTCCACGGCCAGTCTATATTCATATTGTAGTCTTTTGTCTCGTTTTCTCAGGGTGCATAGGTTTCTGACAGTTTTGTACTCTAAGTAGCTTGATGTCTGTCCTGTGCTCTTGCAATGATCTCATGGTTTTCGACGTTTTTCATTAGGGATCTTACTTCTTTATCAATCCATGGGGGTTCTTTGGATGGTGGTCTGCTCATGCAGTTCGGAATAAACTGTTCAATGAGCCGCATCATATTAGGTCGTAGACGTTCCCATGCGACATCAAGCGCCAAGGATTGCGGAATACTCCAGTCCATGTTACTTGCAGTCGTTCTTAATCTGGGATGATCTGTACGCCAGAAATTTCGACACAGTGTCCCCTGATCGTGGATTGTAAGGCTTCGTGTCCACGAAAAGAGACTGTACAGTGACCACTCGTCCCAAGAGGCTGGAGGATGGTTAGATCTGAGACATCAGGTGGTGCCGAGGTGAAAACCAGTTCGAGAATGTTTGGTGTCTGACCAAGGACCATTCGCGTTGGTGTCAAGAGATGCTGTGTCAGGTCGCACTCGTGAACCGTATAAAGGAGATCAATTTCAAAGGAGTCAGTGAGAGATCACTGTGAAGTAGGTCCCGGATTACGTTGGGGGAGTTAAAGTCCCCCATAAGGAGACAATTTGTTCCTCTGCTGTTGATTCGAACGGAACGTAATAAGTGTGAGCCAGGTGCTGCAGGGGCTCTGTAGACCACCCCGACCAGCAGCGATTGGTATCTGTCATGAATTCGGCACCAGAGCATTTCCGACATATCATCCTTGTCACAATCAGGTTCGACAGCGTGGGCCTTGAGCTAGTTCTTTGTGTAGAGGATTATCCGCCTCCAGACCTCCCACCAAAGCGATCGCATCGAAGTAGCTGATATCCTGAAACATGAACCTCCTAGTCAGATATGTCAGATGAAAGCCAGGTTTCGGTGAACGCCATTACGTCCGGTTGCTGTTCAAAGATAAGGAGTGGAATCTCATCTAGCTTGTTTCTGAGACTGCGCACCTTCGCGTGTATTACCCGTAATCCGTTCTTTATGTTTGAGGTCCTGGAAGAAAGAGGACTGGCCTCCATCGAGCTCTCTGAGTTTTCTTGACTACGCGAAAATCCACTGTGTGTAGATCTGTTTCTCCGTTTCCGCGTCGTGTTCGCAGCTCGCAGACAGCTTGCCTCATTCGGACTCGGTCCTCCGGAAAGAGGTCTTTCAGAACGTAGAAGGTTTCTCCCTTGAGGCGCGGGGTCCGTCTCAGGATGCGTTGGCATTCTTCTTCATCCTGACAGACGATTTTCAGAAGACGAAACTTGGCTGGGTCCTCTTGTTTTCTGCCAAAGCGAAAAGCAGAGATAAGTTTTATTCCTTGATCATGCTCATCAAACGACAACGAGGCCATTCGTTTAAGAAAGGCTTGGTCGTCCAGCATCCTTTCAGCTGGAGTCTCTTTGTTGGATGCTGGGAAGTTCGTGATTATCAGGTAGCGGTTGCGAACAGGCCGCTTGTCTCGTTCCGGTGATGCTGGCCTTGATGGACATTTCTTTTCTCTGACAAGTTCCTCAAGCTGCGCTACTCTATTTAAGACGAGCTTTAGTTCCACGTTTTTGTGTTTGATTTTACTTTGGGTCGTGAGGAGATCTTCTTTGAGGCCTTGTTCTCAGCTATGGTTGTCCTTGTTTTTGCTGAGGGGCTAGCGCTCGCGACTGCGGCATAGGACTTAGGCGTATGCATGAGTCCAAACGCATTTAGATACGAATCCTACAAATCCGAGGCGCACGCATGATTTGAGGCGCTTCATCTCTCAGGAGTACGGCAAACGTGTAACCTGTGTGGAACTGAGCAATTTGCGCATTCGTCATGGAAATGAGACCTCATGTGAAGTGACGGAGGTGGCATAGATGTTGGAAGGGCACGGTGTTTGCCCATTAGTATCTGATGGTAGCCAGATTCCTTATGTATTCTTCTGTAGTGACAACGACATTTCATTGCATACATCTCCAACCTGTGCTTGCAAATCATAGCATTACGGCCTCGCCATGAATCAGCGTGGTGATTCTTGCTCACCTGTACACTTCACCATGCCGGAGCCTCTCCCCACACGTACAGCGGCGGCCACGTGATTACACAGTGGCACATCGACACAGGTGCCGTTGGTGGGATATCATTACTTACCTAGCAGAGCCGCAGTGGTATGCCCAGTGACACACAATAGCAGAGGTTACTCACCTATTGTGCACACAATGACGATCAGATATCACTATTCCTTTTAACATGCCAAGCACAATGGATTGTATTTGTTAACTCCATCGGGGGCTATACCTTCCATAGCACACCACCTGCCCCCACCTATTGCTCAGGGTCATTCCTCAGCAGATTTACTTATATGGCTGAGTGCACGGTCCTATGTTTCATGACTTACCGTAACCGTTATCCTTTCTTCCAGTGGTATGTGACATATACTAAAGTAGTGCAGTACCGCTGTCATTCTTCCATTACGTCCATATTCCACCACCTTCGCAGTGTTACTTAACATGACAGAATAACAAATCTGCAGCCAACTTATGCGTAGTGTATAAAGCGGCTTAGGTGTGCAGATAAATCTCATCCTGACTGCAGTACTGCGATATCATGGGTTTGGTAATTGCGCTTCTCCTGCGTAACTTTGTTGCCTTTGTATCATCTGTAACTACCTTGTGTACAGTTAATCATTATCGCGATATTCTTGCTGACCAATTGACACCATACGCTAATTTAGAGAACATTTGTGCCACCATTCCGTATGCATCACTGATTTCATTTCATTTCATGTTGTACCTTCCAATGATTGCCGGGTACTTGATATCACCTATGTGGCTGCGCTGGATGTGCATGTTGACAGGGTGCCTTCTTGTTTCTTACGCACTATCTTGTCCACACTAGCTCCATGAGGCAGTTGGTCTTTACTGAACGTGACGGGATGAAGGGTCTTTGTGGCCGTATGCGGCTCGATTAGCGGTTCCATGCACTCAGTGTGCAGCGCACTACGATCCAGACACCGTCTTGTGTGCGCTTCATTCCAAAATACCAGGTGTTTGTGTTTCCTTGTTAAGGAGTGTGCGCCGGCTACCTTCAGGAAACCTGCCTTCCATCCACATGCCTCCTGGTCACATTTCCCTCCTTATACACTGTATATGGGATGTGTAGATGAAACCGTGGGTAGTGCAGCAATACCCACCCATGGTCCCTCTGTAGGCGCATGTGCCAGGTGGCTAGTCAAACCCCAACACACCTAAGTAAATCTATGCAAATCTATGCAAAACATATTGGCGTTTTTGTCATTTGGCTCGAGGCAACCCTGGATCCATTGGTGCATTAAAACAAAAGAGGATGGTGCTTTTCATTGCAATTTATTGCCTATAACTTTTAAAGTCGCTGGATTTTCCGACTGTTTATGTTTATTTTTCGCATTAGTCCGTCCTTCGCTATGCTGCCTTGATTTTAATGAGTCAATGTATTAGCTTATTCTGAAGGAATTTTCCGTCATTGTGCATCAATTTTCCTTATCCTAATTTAGATTATTATTTGATTTCTAATTTTTCTAGATCATCAGAATAGATTATTTCTTACCTATAGAACGACCGTCCTTAATTTATTTCGCCTTCTTTTTAATGCAACAGATTCCAGAACAGACATTTCTTTTAGGGTTTGGTCCTTTAAAATAATATTTTCCGCCCCATTTCCACTTGCTTATAACCGTCAATGCATTCAGGCAACTAGACTAACTTATTCTCATTGGAGTTAATATCAATACCTTTTTTTAGTTTACACTAATATCCCGTCTCGGGCCAATTTCTTATCATCCCTTTTCCATAAGGATATTAGGTGCTACCAAAATTACCTACCCTGGGGCATTTCCTCTAGTCAGTCTTTCGTGCTATTTCTTACTCTCCGCTATACTCTATCCATATCCTACCTTTTTATATTGTTTGTCTATTATGTCTGTTAGATATCTTGATGCCTACGCTTTGCGCACACACATTACCTATATTTTCTTTTGCACTCCTCTTGTCTCCGCACCCAACCGCCATTGACACTGTATGGCTGCGCAATTTGTTAGTCTCTTTCCTTTAAAGCATCCAGCGACATTTTACTAAGCTTGATCACATTTCTTCTTAGTTGGTTTTTAGCATTGTATGGTTTGGCTTATAGTTATGCGTCCTGAGCCCTATGGTCACTCGTGTCTCTCAGTATACCTTGCTAAATTGGAGTACTTACACAACGCTTTGCCTTTAGCTTCCCAGTACACAGCCCCTAAACCTCCAAACTCCCACCCAACCCCATCGTCTTCCTCCTGCCACGCCTGTTCCCATTGTCCACGAGATTACCAATCCCGGGCTGCTTCACTAAGGCATTTGCGGCGGCTGCACCCTAACGAATACCTGGAGATGTTTAGGTCAGGATTAGCAGTACGGCTAGAAGGGTGGACCCAGCAAGAGGACGAGGAATTACTTAGAGTGGCGACGGAGATGAACGCCCATGTACCGACTCGAAGGGCATTGGTGACACAGCTTACACTCTGGATTCCGAAGAAGACGGAGGCAGCTATCACAAGAGGGCTACAACTCCTGAAATGGAATCGTCGGCCTACACAGCTATCTCAACCTAGACGGCGGAAAATCCCCACATGCCAATCGTCAACGGTTAGTTCAGACTCTAGCCTTTTCACTCGGGATAGCCCGGCTATGCCAAACGCCCCTCAATCTTTAGTATGCCCGCGCTCGACCTCGGGTTCCGGTCA